AGGGGATATTTACCTGTATTTGGTTTAGGGGATATTTACCTGTATTTGGTTAAAGGGATATTTACCTGTAATTGGTTAAGGGGATATTTACCTGTATTTGGTGATGCCTCCACTACAAAGCTTTCGTAGAACTTTCGGTCACGCCTCAAAGCTGTATGGTAGAAATGTAGGAAAATAATTATTATGCATCAAATTTAAGAAACAAATAATTTATATTTTATATAACACAAAAATAATTCAACAAAACAATAAGCAATGATGATTAATTTTATAAACCCATGATGAAATGTAGTAATTAATGTTTAGAAAGTCATACATTAACTGTACCTAGACAAGTGTTAACATTTGTAAGTAATTTTCATATTATTAAATGAATGTGTCCGTGTTATGGTCTTGTCGTAATTATTTTTATGTTTATATCTCACACATAAAAAAGCTCAATAAACTCCTGATGGGTGTAAAATATATTTTACTCATTGCATGATGTGATTGACAGATATCTTAAATATATATATGCTACATAAAGACCCCGCGCGCACTAACATCTGGGCCAACAAGAGTGATTAATAGAAACTGAAATATCTTGTTTCATAACTGTTGTAAAATAAATAAAGTGTTTACATAATATATACATAAGATGTAAAATATAAGATCTACAGGAAGTAGAAATCCCATTGAAGTACGACCGCTTTCCATGGTTGTAGTAACACAGTTCAGTAACACTTACATTCGGGTGTTGTTGTCACGACGTCATCTGAAAACTTGGCTAGTTCCTAGAAACACAGAATATATATATATTGTGAAGTTATTAACTTTCCCCTATTTCATCGCAGATAAAGTTCTGCATTCCATTGATATAGATATTTTAAGTTTAAAAATTAATATCGTTCGGTCCAAACCTTTAAAGCCTCTCACTATTGCAAGTATATCTGTAGTCTTTGGAAAGGTGGTCAGAAATATAGAATTTAAACGTTCAGTGAGAAACGGAAAATGAGTTTTAAATTCTCGAGGAAGAGGTGGTCATTGCAGACATGATGTTGGTTAATTTGTGAATCTTTACTTTTATGGGATCCAAGGACAAAGGAACCTTAAAATAATGAGTAAGCTTACCTTTTGTCGAAGAGTTGCACAGATATCTATTAAATCCCAACCAAACTCTTCTAGTAACTCTTTTTACTCAAGTAATTTTGTTCATTGATATAATATGTATTCTTAACCTAGTTTGTACCCCAAAATGAATACAAGCTTAAGACTGGTCGTTACATAGCTAACGTATTTTGGCTTGGAGAAAGGGACACAACTCTCATTTAACTCATCCATGCTTCACTTTCGGTTTGATATCTTGATCAGACACTGTTACAATAAACACATATATGAAATAGAGGTATCTTACAAAGCATTGCACAGCATTATCACTAGAGTTGATAAGTTAACGTCTAAATTGAGTTTTAGTAAATCGATGGGAAAAGCCAAAGACATGATGAATGAACACAATTCTTTTTTCCTGATATTGGTTCTTGGTACGTACTGTTAGTAATATCGCTTTGATATCAAGCAGTGGCGGATCCAGAGTTTTTTTGGGGCTTCAAGAACAACAACCCCCTCCCCCATGATTTTTCTATAAAAGTCATGTATTTTCACCATTTTCCTCAAATTCCCCCCTACTTAGAACACTCTATGTACTACAGCGATTTATCCCTCTAATGGATGTCTTTCTAGTCTGGTGGGATAACGTACCAGCAAGATAGTATACACCATTGTCAGTTTTTATGTTCTTTTCAAAAGAAGTATATATTCAATGAAAATTACCTGTACGTTGCCATGCAATTTTCAGGATTATAGTTCTTCGAAAAACCTCAAGAAGCGGACACCGCTTACACCAAGGTCGATATCATGAAGGAAAATTTGAAGGTTTTAAAATAGAAATAATCAGTATAACAGCAAAATTGCAGACAACAAACACGGGCCTTTACCTTACAAAGCCTACACTTTACCAATGTTAACATCTAATTTTGTTGTCGACAAAAATGCCATGACAAAAAAAGAAACATTGAAACAAACATAAGTTGACAAGGGAAGCTACTCTAAGACAGAAAAACAATTATTTTCTCCGACTTGTACAAAGAAGGTAATACACAAAGTATAAAAACTTCCAACTGATATGCTAAATATGTTCTTGGTACCTTTACCTTTTTATCGACTGAACAAGTAAAAGTGTCTTCTATCAAGTAATAAGGCCGAGACAGACAGCGTTATTATTGCTATTTATTACCGAACGGGTAACTTTATTTTCATGAACACCGGAGGGTGAATTAGAAATACTTACAACACACATTCGATAGATTTCTTCTGTGTCCTCCTCTGCTGCTCGTCTGATCGTAAACTCCGACATTCTGTTTGGGTACAATTAAGTTACTCTTTATCAACACGCTACGTATACAATGTTACATCATATGATTATGTGTCTAAATGACCTACATATTTGTCCGACCTACAAAATCACTCGAACACTTTTGAATCGCTGTTATGTTAATGTGAAGCGGAAGTATGTGATATTGAGGCTGGCTTTTGTAAACTGCTAGACACGCAAACTCATGATACTTTTTTTTTTGTATTTGCATATCAATGCATCTTACATGACCCAATACGTTTCTATTCCTGTGCATGTATCCGCGATACAGTTGTCTTTATGAAAGTAGCCTTTGAGACGACCCCCTTTGATACCGACATTTACACACATGTGCGGAGTGTCGTGTGCTGAACTGGTTTTTTTCTGTTTTTTTCATCGTGTTAGATTGTGATTTATTGTACAGTACCATTTGTTACCCTGACGGAATGATACATGCACGTGCCTTCTACAGACTAAACAGTTTGGTGTAAATATGTATGTCACATGTATATTTCTTGTGATATTTATAAACATGATGTTATTTCCATTAATTGCATACTACATTTTTTGAATAAGTATAGTTTACTTTAAGGATCTGTTCATGTGAAAAGTCCAATTTTTCTAATGACGTTTTTTGGTGTCAAATCTTATCTTAAAGAGAAGAATGACAGAAAATAAAAAACCGCAATGATAATGATAAGTCGTGCTTTTGTTTTTCTTGTAATGTCGATCAAACATACAAATTACGTACATTTCAATATGTGAATTTTGGTGACATTTATTATTTTTATCATAAGCAGAACAAATCATACAATATCTTCCAGGTGTGTCATCTATGAATGTTTGCACAATTCATGAAAATAATATTTTTGTCTAAATAATAGAAGTTAAAAGTCTATAAATTTTGATCTCAGAAAGGCAGTTTAGGTTACACCTACACCTTACGTTTAAATTTTAAAATCTTTATTTTTAAACATTAGCTGAATTGAAATTAAATTTGTGTTTCTTTTCTTAAAACAGTCAAAAATGAGGGGTCACTGTGCTTTTTTTAGGCGTAATGGTTTTTTTGGTTTTTTTTTCAACTTTTCCGGGAACATGAAACAAATGGACTTAAGCTTATATTGTATCATTTCTTACTTTGTAACATTATTCAGTTGTACAGCTCAAATCAACTCGCTACAATTTAAACTCGCGACACCGTGATAACTTAAGTGACTTAGCAAGAGTCAAAAAGGTGAAGTTTTGACTTTTCGCGGAGCGTAAAGAAGTCAAGTTTTCAAAAAGACTGCCATATTCTTCATTCAAAATAAAATTATAAAACATGTTCTGCAAGCAATAGGTATCTAATTTTTGACATTTCTTTCATAAGCTTGTTTGCTTTTAAAATTGACCATAATTTGTTACACTTTATCAATTTCTGTTACACTATATCAAAACGAGATTTGAACGTGATTTAAACCTCAGAAGATCAAATCCTTAATATTAATTTAAGACTGGAATGGTCTCGGCGACTGCACTTGTTAGGTTGCTTGTTCATAATCATCATTACATAAAGACTTTTTGAAATTTTTCATCAACATCTACTTAAACTGTTAACCTTACATTGTTACTAAAGAAGCAAACGAAATATAACCAGAGTATTAACGTGGTTAAACCTTTGGCATTCAAGTTCGGGGTTGTTACACAACCCGTGGGTTCTGTTCGGGGTTGTTACATAACCCGAGGGTTCTGGTCGGGGTTGTTACACATCCCGATGGTTCTGTTTGGGGTTGTTATACATCCCGAGGGTGCTGTTCGGGGTTGTTACGCATCCCGATGGTTCTGTTCGGGGTTGTTACAGATCCCGATGCTTCTGTTCGGGGTTGTTACACATCCCGAGGGTGCTGTTCGGGGTTGTTACACATCCCGATGGTTCTGAGCTTATCTTAAGGTAAAGGGTACAACATGTACTGCATCCGTTATTTACTTTTTTATTTCATTTTACCCTCCCTCCATTGTCCATGCTTTAAAGTTCCTCGCAGCACATAAGTCATATGAAGAGTGACGATAAGAAAGACAGAGTTGGGAACGAGAAAGCATGTCGGTCAGGATAATACCAAATAACAGAGACGGTATACACAACACTTATATAAAACAAACATAGATATTAAAATATAATCCTTTATTTATTTTGCTAACTTTTCCAGACTTTCTGTCGGTAACCTATATACATGGATACGGTCAGTTTCGGTAAGATCAATGGCACCTTTTGATTTGTAAAACTCTATGGCGCTGGTATTATAATTGAGAACACACCATTCCAATAAAACGCAGCCATTCTCTACGACATCCTGGAACGAACAATAACCATATTACTTGTATTGCATACAGGCGAGTTACAATCAAAACAATGATGTTATTGAGATTATATTTATATAGTGTATATTTATTGATATATAAATAACAAAAAAGGCAAGAGTTTCTTCAACCTCCCTAGCGCTTTCTCCTCCTTAGAGGTTCATCAGTGGAACTAACGTTGTCTGCATCCGTGGAATGTATCATGAGGAAATAAAAAGCATTGAGTTAGATATTCGTTTGTGGTAAAAAAAAATGACCAATCGCCAGAATGATACTTGTTCTTTGACAATTACAGAAGAGTATCACTTTCCAAAGCCGGTCCATTGTACTTTAAAGCTGCCACGCGATTCTTTTGAAGTTCATGAAAGGATTTAATTAATCTACTTTTATCAGCCTCAGGGAGCGCGTACAGAACCTTCGATTTCGTCACGGCATAGTTCAGGGGTGTAGAGAACGTAAGGGGGCGTGATCCCTGGAATTTCGCGGACGGATGTATATCTAATGAATATTAATATCAGTGTTATTACATTGTTTCAGGACAGGTCTCTAATAGGGTGTCCATCAGCACTGTCTGGGGTTAAAATGATCTGGAATGTCAGTTTTCCGTTTAAATCAAGTTAATAAATCTTCGTTCACACCGGTCCTTCGAAAAACCATACATCTCATTAAAGAAATTAAATGATGAAAAGAAAAACATGTTACCTGTGCCACTCTCTTCAGTAGGGTTGAGCCTATGCCCTTCCCTCTATGCTTGGGACATACGTAGATATCATTCAAGAAGGCTGATCGTCCGTCCCAGGAGGAGAAGGAATAGTAGTATAAGGCGTAGCCTATCAAAGATTTGGACGCAGCATCTACAGATAATAAGGCAAAACATTATTGCTAGATGTCTTGTTTTGTATTAAAAATTATTCAGAAGAAAATATGCCGTGTATTTTGACTACTGTCAAAACATGATTTATAGACAATTAGACAATATTCATCAAAATCTGTTAAGCCAGATATTGGCGATTTCATAAACATTTCGAATTTAACACCGGCATACATTCAAAACGGAAGATAGAACAATTATATAATTTATAGATTGTCAAACATGCTGTGTAGTCATTACATATACAAAATTCTTTAGTAATTACTTAAATTATTCCCGTTGGTAGATTTGTAACGAAAATACGTATAGTTTTTCATGTTATTTGGTTCCCTCTATAAATTGAACAAAACGATAACAAACACTCGGGAACACATGGCGATCAGTCTCATTTAAATAACTTTAATAACAAATTATGTTGTGCCTCACAATATTGGACAGAGAGAGCAATGTGTTCAATCAGATAAAGGAAGTCATCTGAATACGCCCCAGCGGGCCAGTTGTGAACTGAGATGAGGGGGCTCATAGACTCTCGCACATCTATGCGTAGCGTAGGCAAATTGGTTTGTCGGTTTGATTTTTCTTTCGTTAACAAACATGCATCTGTACGTACGCTTATAGAGTAGTCGAATCGACGTCAATTTCATTTACGAACTCGAACATACCTTACACCTTTGTGTACATTCTGTACGCTTCACTGGTCATTTGGCCAATGAAGGTGACATACTTTAGATTTCAACCCTTTCACCACTGTAGACCATAATGGACTTGTCCATATCAATGCGCGGTATTGTCTACTTAAGTTACATAGGGGTGAAAGTTTTAATTGTGCTGCAAGAACCTTCCTACAATACTTGTTTATCCCGTATCCTCGACCTTAGAGATAAAGACAATGCAGGCTCATTATTCCAATCTAACATCACAAGCCTATGACAAATGTGAATCATTTTATTTCACTTTCCTTATATGAAACATATCAACTTAATGAGCACTATAAATAGACACACGAGCTAGTGATACCCAAGAAATAAATAAAATGAAGACAAAAGGCATGTTTTATTTCATTTCAGTAAAAAAACATTTGGTCTTCCAAAACAAAAACTGTAACGGAAAACTCTAAAGTTTTGGACAGAGAGAGAGCAATCTGTTCAAAGCGGCAGTTAAATGAAGCCATCTGGATACGCCGCAGTGGGCCAGTTCTAAATCGAGACGAGGGGCTTAAACACTCTCGCACATCTATGACCACGTATTAAACAAAGCGTAGCTGAATCGAGTCATTTCGGTACATATATTACAACTATTGTACATACGCTTACAGCATAGCCGAAATCGACATCGATTTTATGGACAACTCGTACACATTCTACACCTTTGTGTGCATACGCTTCACTGGTCATTTGTCTGATAAAGGTGACAGTGTACATATCGTACTAGTCATCGAAAAGTCTGTTACGGCACGATTTCTCACCCGACACGATTTTTCACTTACAAAACATGTGAGAAATCGTGCTACAATTGCTGAGTTTCAATCGTGTCGGGTTGAGAAATCGTGCCGTCACATCGATAAAAAAAATATTGGTTGTGTAAAAAGAACTTTTCATTATTCACCCTAGAGTTAGTGTGCGTTGTAGTATATTTTAAAATGTAGTTAAGTTATTGAACGTGCTAACAACATACAAGCAGCTTTGTTAAGGGGATATTTACCTGTATTTGGTTAAGGGGATATTTACCTGTATTTGGTT